GGTGTTATCGAAAGTCATGGAGTCAATTGTGGCAGATTCTCTGATGGAACACCTCGAAAGACACAACGTTCACTTGACAGCTCAACACGGGTTTAGGCCAAAGCGATCCTGCTCCACCAACCTGCTTCTTGTTCGAGATGAATGGACCAGTACAGTTGACGAAGGGGATTCGGCGGATGTGATTTATCTCGACTTCGCGAAAGCATTTGATCGGGTGAATCACAAAATTTTTCTGCAGAAGCTCTACACTTATGGCGTTTGAGATTACGCATTTGAGTGGATTAAAGCATTCCTCGAACAACGAACTATATCAGTTTGTGTTTCTGATTTCATATCCGGATCTATGAAAGCCACCCGCGGTGTTCCACAAGGGTCCGTACTCGGTCCCCGGCTGTTCCTCGCCTTCATAAATGGTCTACCCAAAGTGTTAGGCTAAAAAACAATACTGTTTGCAGACGACGCCAAAGTCTGGAACACGGTAACAGAACCAGAGGGCTCTCGAACACTTCAGGCATCACTCAACGCAGCTTATCAATGGTCTAAGGAGAACGACATTGAATTTAATGTTTATGTTTAATGTTAATGTTATCGAAAAATGTACACCTAAGGGGACACCGTTTCAAATTACTGATTCCCAAGTGTCGACTGGATTGCCGGCGCCAGGCTTTTGCTGTCAGAGTATGCAGATCTTGGAATGCTCTTCCATCTCATGTCGTTTGTGCACCCACTATTGAATCTTTCAAGCAGAGACTCGACGAAACCTTGGCACACCTGATATTCATACACCACTAAAAGTAAACACAAATTCGCTGTAGCCTACACTCTTTATTATCTCCTACCCGGAACTCTATGTGACTCCTTTTTCGATGTGTAACGAATTATCTGTGTAAATATCCTATAGGACAAGAGAAGCCCGAGCTTTTAAGTTATTCCCATAATAAAACTTTGACTTTGAGTTTGACTTTAGTAGACCAACCAAAACAACCCTCCTTTCTGCTCAGTCGCAATGACCTCTACAATGCCCTCATTACATTCAACGCTTTACATTGCGCCTCATTTTGTGTCTAAGGATGAACGCAGACAATCAGCATTCCTGGCTCTGGAATTTGACACAAGGACTTCGGAAGTTTTAAGATTGTGATAGAAAGACAAAAGCGTTCTGAGGAAAGCCGTAAGAATTGATCAATCCACGAGACCTAGGCTACTAGCTTACGTGTGAAAACTGTTATGGCCGTGAACGGATGAGACAAATAGTGTTGCTTACTCTGTTTATGAAGCTGTATCAATTTGGTGCTCATTACGTGTTTAGAATCACCAAGGTCGCTGTGAAAATATCTAGACACCATACACATTGCAACAAAAGAAGTCAATGTTTCGGGTCACTATGGGTATTTTAATTTAGGTGGGTTATGTAGTGCAGAGGAGAAACCGTAGCGCCCGACGGTGACACTACGTCATTTTTTCACTTTTGAGAGGATGATGTAGTCAGTTGGATCCTATTCCCCCCCTGAGTACTGCTGTTGGCACTATGAGATTGTTTCCGACTTCCCTTCGGCATCATCAAGGACTAAAGTGACCAACAAAGCGGAGATTTTCGAGTTTCCGAATCTATTTCATACAAATTAATAAATACGAAAATTCGATCTCACAACTAAGTACTTTCACCTGTTCGTTGAGCCTGTTTGCAAACGTTTCATCACCAACCAAGGTGACATCATCAGTGCTTGTGAAGAACACTGCAACTTCACAAGCACTGATGATGTCACCTCGGCTGGTGATGAAACGTTTGCAAACAAATTGCCAAGCTCGGTGAACAGGTAAAATATAATTCAGTTCACCCGAGCTACGAGAACCGATTTCAAATACTTTGTCAACTAAGTACTTCTTTTCTTAAAAAAGCTGTACTGTTCCGTGTTTATTGGTAGCTTTAAGTCACATTAATAACAATGCACTTCCTAGATGACAAATTGTGACTAAACACTCAACAGTAGGTTTCTTCTGAAAGAACCCTAAAAATAAGCCGGTTATGTCACAAAATTACCTCATCTTGAAGGCCCTTGAACATTTTGAGCAGTTGATCAGTTTTCCGTTCAACTTCCTCCACTCGACTGGTTTTAGATAAAATTGCCTGAATATTTTCCGTGGCTGATTGTTGGAAACTTTGGATGTTTGAAGCCAACTGAGCGTTCATCGATCCACCTTGACCGGACAGTACCATAGTTCTTACACTGACAGCTTTTGTGGTCTGATTTTTCCGTCGACTTCGACCGAAAAGCACGTAACGCTGATAGTCCCAAAAACGCAAACGTTCCCAGTGCTTCAACTGTCTTTCTCTTGACGGTTGGTCCCGGAAAGATTTTTCTGTCATTCGAACACGAGCGATTGGTGTTGATGGCGAGGATAGAGCAGGGGTAAGGGCGAAAAATAAAAACAAAAATATTTTTTCAGTGTTAAATTATAATTTACGGCAATAAACAGGCCATACACAAAATTCGGTTAGAAGTGATTGCTTGAAAGTGAGAACCATTTTGGGCCCTTTGTTTTGAGTTGAATTATTGCAAATGGTAATCGAAATTCACACTCAAAGTTTTTATGTTCAAACCGTATAAAATACCTTCCATCTAACTTGAAAACGAGTGCCGAAGTTGAAAAAAATCGTAACCAAAGGTGCATGGCGATTTTGAAAAGTTTAGTAGCTTCGATTGGATTCGAACCCACGCATGGACACCGTCTACGCTTTATACACGCACACTCCACCATTTGAGCTACGAGGCAACGTCGGGTGCACTGATCTTTTCCCATTCAAATTACCCATCCAACTTACAGAGGTTTATTGCATCCACCAGTTAGCATGTAAGCTGATTGCCCCGACAACGATGTGAATAACCAAATTTGTTATGAGCCGTAGTTCCTCCAAAAATTTTCATATTTCCATTTTTATTAGTTTTCATGAAATTGGATTTTATCAAGTCAAATAAACAACTCATTTAACAAATATCTGCCGGTTTTATGTTGAAGCTTTCCGTTTTCTCCAGTGCATAACAGTTGGTGCAGAAATTTCCTAATCCAAGTACTGAGGATTACGACTGGTTAGTACTTAAACCGCAGAGACTGTCGTGGGAAAACAAATAAATAGATTCTTTTGAAATGGTGCCAATGCCTTTGGAAAAATAAAGCAGTTAGGTGAAGTGCTAGCTAAGGTGACATGATTGAGAAAGAACCGATGTGTTCTTTTTTATAGATTTCGTGATTAAACGATCCGTCAAATTTATGATGGAGGAAAAAACTCACTAAATGGATGTACATGACGACTGATCCCTTTGTGACATTTTCGGATTGCGTATTTGATCAATAAATAAATGTGCCAGATAATAATGAGCGGTGGTGGCAGCGGAGATCGTTCAACGAATTCACAGATTACATGATATCGTTGTAAGGACCAATGTCCGGTTGAGGCGGCCTCGATTCTAACGTAAGTAGATCTGGGAGAGAAGAAAATGGAGAATATATACAGGTATGGCATGATAATGCAAATTTGGAGGCGAAAAATTGTTTTGAGTAATTCCTTCTCTAGCAGACACAAATCTGGTGTTAGCAAAATGTCTAATCAAGATCGGGTTTTATGCGGTCAGATGTCCCTAGAGTCCAGATGTGAGTAACCTAATGAACGGGGATGAGAGCGGGGATGCTGAGTGAGCAGTATGAATAGTAAACCTATTCAACTCTGAAAGCAGTCTGATGCGCCGTTCGTATAACCGGTTCACGTTTATGCTGGTTGAAGTGCGTGAACAATCCGAATAGCTGTTTACACTGGGTGATGAGTATTAGATAGATGATCGGCGATGACATGGATGCTGCAACCAGAGCAAATATTGTCCTCCAATTCTCTGAGACAACTTCTTCGCAGTATAACCAAAGTGAGCCTATGGTACAAATTCAGCAGCATGAATAGACAAGCACAGATCAGGTCAAAATCGTAACTGGTGCTTATTAGATTTTCGAATTACTATTGGGGTAGTGAAATGATATACACACTTGGCCGCAGGCTGATAGCACAGCACTTCCCCATCGCTTGGTGACAAATTCAATATGTTTGCTTGATAGTTTTGTGATCGGAACAAACGCAAATCAAGAACTAAATTTGAAATTTCGCTGGTTATCAGTTGCGGAAGTCTTCGGACAGCAAGACGCAGAAAGAAGTTCATTCAATGAAATCGAGAGGATCGGGCAATTTGTATGAAGAGATATCCTAGAGTGAATAAGTATTAACTAATATTTGTTCTTGTTTTTCTTGTCAAAAGATTACTGTTTGACCTCTGTAGCCTTTGATTTATCTGATATGTTAAACCCTTAGTGGTTACCCGGAAAATGTACCGAGCATCTCCTTGGCTCGTGTCATCCGGGAGTGTAGGATCACCATAAGGAGCTAAACGGTAAACCTTTGAATTAGGGTCTTCTTGGTGGATAAAAGTTGTTGAACGTCTGTGGACATTATGTCTCTCCGGCGCACCATCTCAATANAAGAAATGAAAGCCACTCGGCGATTGAAAGAACCATGTAAACCATGTAAAACAGTACTTGAGAGAGAGGGGAGGGGGTAAGTTGTAACTTACGCAAACATCGCAATCAACAAGTTGAGTAGTAAAACTTGGGTAAGAATGACAAATATTCCCAGGAGCATTGGTGAAAACCATTTAGAAGTGGCATCCCGACAATTCACACCGTATTCCTTGCAAGAATCCAGTTCATCTACAGTTTTGGATAAAATACGGAGGGTGAGGGCGAAATTAGAAGGGTGAAAGAGCACACTAATTGTTACGAATATGAATAGCTCGGTAGGCTGAAACAGATGAACAGTAAATGGCCTATCAGGATAGCAACATGAAGGGCTTTTTAACTGTTAGTCTACAAGAAAAGGAAAAGATAACAATTGATCGACACCTACTTACAACAAATCACCAAGCGAATATAGGTCAAGCGTTTTAAATTGCCCATCAAATTACTCGATTATCTAAATCAGTATGCTATATCCAGCTGTGTACCTCAAAGAGACCAGGTTAGAACCCTTTGCCCCTCACAGAGCACTACTCATTAGGGCTACTTGACAAGCAGTTACTCGATTAGAAAGCACTGAATGAAACAAGGGTGTAGCGGAGAGACTCATTCCAAATGTTGACGAAAATTTGATCTCTTCGTAGGGAACGTAATAAAATCCTTCTCAATCAAGAACGAACGATTTAGTTAGCTTCTTTTGCCCCCAAACGATAGTAGCGTTGGGTTGGTGAGTGTTTGTGAAGTCGGCTCGTCCAGCATTATTAGAATACAATCGTTTAAATGAGGAATTACTTCTTAACACGGGATATTCATACGCAATGTCGGTGGTCAATCGGTTAGAGTCACGATCACAGATATCCGGAGTCATGAGTTCGATTTCAGTCGTCACCCTGCGTATAACCCAGTTCGTATGTCTTCAAGTGGCCCCTCTATCACTGCGGATTTAATTCTAAAGTCCAGGGTGTAATTTAGTGGTAAATGAATAAAACAAGAATAAAAATTCAAATTTTTGTTTAGGGGAGGGTGCATTAAATGTGAAAAGATCGGTGCTGTCGTTATGATCTCGTAATGCAGCGACAAAGCATACGTTCGCATAAAAGTGTAGACGGTGTCCTTGTCAGCTAGGCTGTTAAGTCTTTTTATAGTTCAAGCAAACAAATATCATCATACAGTTTTCATGAAAAAGATTTCTTCTGAGTTAAAAGCTCTATCGAACTGCTTAATATTCATCTAAGATAAGTCCAATATGCAGCAAACTAGTCTACTGAATAGTACATGCCTGCGTACTTCCTATTCACTTGTCCCAGAAACTGTTCTCATACAGTTGCAAGAAGAACCGTTCGGTCTTCAGTTATGAAGTGAGTTCTGCCTCATCTATAGAATCCTTGAAGGCCACCAGTGTGGTTACATAATAGGACGACACGAGCTAATCTCCGTTTTAGGTCAAATTATGTTATGCTTACTACATGTTAATAACAATAATCAATCACACCCAAATCTCTGGGCCAGTTGTTGGACTCATATACTTACCACCACTGCCAGTCAGTGAGTCCAGACTGTATTCGCCAAAAATTTGGAAATAAGCCATTTGCAATGCATCGAACAGAGTCCGCAAATTGATCAGAGCGAACGGACTGGCGGTGTTTTTGAACGCGACAATCCATTGTAATATGGAGAAGCTAACCAGTGACACTATGAACAAAGCCAGAAATGGTAGCAGATCTTTGACCAGCTAAATACAGTGAAGAAATACAAGAAAAAGATTAACGAAGAATTGTTTAAAACAGAGATCTGATTGATTATTGTGACCATTTTATGATTCATTTGAACCAAATGCAAAAAGTATTGTTCAAATAAAAATTTATGCTGAAAGAGAGAAGTGGAGCATTCAGTTGGACTATGGAATGCATTGGGCTGGCAGTACGAACCGAAAAGCCAGGAAGCACACTACAAATGTTTCGCCTTGATGAATCTCATAAAAAGTGAGTATATCAACTGAACTAAGAATCACACCCAAGACATCATATTTAAAAAGTAAGCATACCTCTCACTTGTCCACGAGTAGCTGATCAGATTGTTCGGGCCTGATATCAGGAGTCGTACTGCCGACAGTCATTTTGCTCACTTATACAATGAAAACTTTCTTGATCATTGAAGTTTCGTTTTTGAGCACCCATTCAAGTAATCCCCAATTCGCAAAGTCTCGGATCACACGTGCCCTCTGTTGTGTCTGAACCTACCTCATATCCGCTGAACTCTAAAACTAATCAATCACTGTTCCCGTTTCAATCAGNATTACTGTTTGGAAAACTGCCGTGCTTATCCACAATAAAGAACCGTGGTGAAACAGAACACCGACGACGCGTGTCTAAGGCTTTGACTGCTTCTATCAAGGAAGAAATCAATACAGAAAAACCAATATCAGTATTATCGTGGCTTACATCCACTCTGATCGATCTGCAAGGTTTAAAAGTTCTCGTTAAAGTTTTTTCAAATGTCAATGATACTTTCACTACCAAATATCACCCAAAGTATTCAACATTTCAGGACAATCCGACAGCGTACACACAGAGATACATCAATTTACTGTTTGATGATGTTTTGTTTTCTATATAGCTTTCACATTTTCTGAATGTTTGAGCATACTTTTGGGAGATTTTAACCTATGTGGACACTTTCGCTCGTCTCTCTCAAGTGGAGTACCGATATTTTGGTCGCAGTTATCAGCAACCTCACTAAGGTTTTTCGTTCGAATCGCAAAGCCCCGACGTTCACCGGGCGAGCTAAAATGTATTCTCACTCAATGCATTTCTCTGTGATAGGATATAAAAAACTAAAGATTGCATTCCAGAATTCCAAAATGTTGTTCTAGTTAAAAGAATCTAGGCGTATTGAGCACCAGATATGAAGCCTGAACAAGGCTTCTGACTAATGAAAACGTCCTCCCATAGAGGAGCAAGCATTTATACAGAGAACGTGGTCAACCTAGATGCTTCGATCGTGACACTAACAACCTACATGCCGCTTTTATACATCTTTCGACCGGGATCATGCCACTTGGGGCTGGTGGTGGCTGAGTGTTTATGTCACTGAGTTGTAGCTCGGATGTCCCGGTTTCGAACCGCTCCACCGCCACCCATCCTACCAATTTATGTATTCCCCAAGGCAGCCTTTGTATGGCCATGGCCCCCTCCCTGAAAGTTGACTGTACATCTGCATAACAAGTAAATAAGAACGAAAGTAAAAAGACATTTTAAAGCAATTTACACATTCTCTTATTCTTCCGAAATATAAGCAATCTAGAAAGTAATTAGCGGGCTTCTCAAAACCAACGAATGATCAGGTGTATGTAAGCCCTCTATTGAGGTAAAGCACATCCAGCTCATTCCTGTGATCTCCTTGGGATTCAAGCTCACGGAAAGAGGAGGGCTAAGTCGCGTAAGACCTTTCGTTTACCTGCTCGATGACCAGTGTGAAGTTGGGTACTGGCTAGGCATGAGTAAGTAAGGATGCGGTCACTCTTATTCTCCATATGATTACTAAATGTTTGAACAGTTCTGTGGGATATGTCAGCTTTTTTATTGGTCAGATGTTTTTAACTCATTTTTGTAATCTTCACTTCTTCAAAACTAGAATCCTTCCGCTGACCGACGTTATTGCTTATGTGACTGAAGGACACCCCTTACAACCGGAAACAAAGCAAAATGGTCGCTAGAGGTTTTAGAAATCTAGTTTGGATAAATGTGGTTAGTTCGGGTGAATTATGGTGTGGACGTTGAATGTACCGATCCGAAACAGAACGAAACCGTTTTTTGGTGCTTTCTGTCAGTAATCACGTAAATCCCTTCCGCGTTTAAGCAGATTTCCGTAAGTTCAACTCTTTATCCCGTACATCGGGGATTTAACAGCTTATGCTCCGGTTGGATTTGCCAAGCATGCTAATGACTCGGTAATATGTAGAGCACTTCTCTGCCAAGCACCGGTTTAAGTTTCGCCTACCACACTCCGGTTTTTTTGAGAACATTCACAAATGACCCTTTCAGATATGCAGTTTGCAGCTAAAAACCCGTTACTGTTTCATCTATTAACCTTCCTCTAATGTCAATTCTCCTGTACTGCTCTCCAGTTATTCCTTTCCCTCCATTATTCATTAAAAATTACAGAGACTACCCAGGGGATTAGCTGACACGGATAATGTATTTATTGTGCCCACTAACACCATCATCCAACTATCACGTGATCACCGCATCGAGGTCAATAAAACAAGGTTGTCAATGACAGGATTAATCGATTACATTATGATTTATCTGCGTGTCACTCACATCCATGAACACAATCCAAATACGATTTATTTGGTCTAGTATAAATACTAGCTTTAAAAATACACAGACGGGTTTCGTATGAATTTCAGTGACTAAAATCATTTACAGCTTCTATATTTTTGTTTCTTCCTATCTGCCTTTTCACTCAATATATTCCCATATAACCTTAATTGATTTTCGCAAGGTCCAAGTTCCGACTGAAATGTGAGTTTTGTTTGAGTTACAGAAGTCCAAATATAATACAAAGCGAGATCTTGTGCCACCACACTAAGTTAAGCTGCAATAAATCAATTTTTGTTCAACTGAACACTTCGATCACCACCACCGGGTAACACTTACTTTTATAAAGTACTGGATAAAATGAAAACTCAGACTCACCATAGTCTGAACCATGATCACTAAAGGCCCGATACTTATATCCGCCGTGAAAGCTTCAAGCAGGCGATAGAAGAAGAGAAACAGTGATAATCCGTAAAACACATCGGCCATGCGTAGCAATGTTTGCTGAACCGTGTTCACCGGGTCAATTGGCATGGCATTGAATCGACCACCGGTTTCGAACACAAGCATTAAATGCAGTGCCATTCCCAGGACGTATAGCAGAATGGCCACCAGCTCCAGTGCTTTCCAAATTCTTTTAATATAGGCCCGAAACGACAGACCGGACATAATACCCTGTCAAAACGGGAGTAAGCGGTGCGAAAATTAGATGACTTGAGATTAAAGCCTTTGGTCTCAAAGCTGAGGATTTATGTGCAAATGAAATAAGCCATTTTAGGGGCTAATTGAGAAAGTTGTGCTTAGCTAGAAAAGTTTGTTATATAAGCTGCAGACCATTTAAAAAAACTCCAGGAAAAAATACGTCTCGATCGATTATTCAGAGGCACAGCATATTAGGAGAATTGCAAGCAGTTTAACAACTAGAATCAAAGCTTGTTCAACTGAGAATAAATTTTGGAGAAAAATGAAAAAAACTGCTAACAGGTGAATCGGAATTATGTGCGCTGAGGTGATACATCGGACATTGGTTTCAGTGAGCACTAATTCGCTGATCAATAGAAAGTGGTTTTACATGTAGGTCAGTTAATGTCGTATGTAGTGGATTAAGAAAAAACAAACATCAAAATGGTTTTATTGCTAAAAAGACAAGAAAAATAAGCATAAAGTAAATTATTCAATGACGAGTGTGGGAAATCCAAACTTCGGGAGTTCGCGGAACTAGTGGTTACGCAGTTACCTGAATCCAGCTGCAGCACTCTAGAGCAGTTTAAGACAGTGGTTTTGATTTTGTTATTTAAAACCATGCGATCAGTGTTCGCTTTTGAATATCGCTCAGAAATACCCCATTCATAAAATTCCACATTTTGAGAGATATCAGTTCGGTATCCTCAGGTTCGCATCATAAATCGTTGATAATCGTCAAGCATTACCTATGTGTTCCATTGTTTCTGATAACTTTGGTTGAATAGTTATAGAAATATGAAAACAGATGGAGTTGTTCTTGCAAAGAACGAATTTATATTAGTTAGACGTAGTGCGTTAACGTGAAATGACCCGCGATGGATTTTTTGTAGGCGATGGCCCACTGAGAATTTTACTGAAAAGAACCAAACAAAGTTCTCATAACGAGTTCGATTGTACAATTTTCGTCTGACTTTAACTCTCAATCAAATTCATATGAAGGTTGAGTCACAAGGTGTTGAACTAAACATCTATGGATTGAAAACGGATAGGTTATTGTATTGTGATTCAAAGCGTCCTAAATGTTATCGATTTGCGTGCAGTCGTATTGATTTGACATAATACAGTTACATAATTTGTTTGTTTGTATCTCAGTGCGGAAATAAATCAAATACAGTGAATCGATCAGCCTCAATCTAGTCAATGCACGATTCGATACGCGGCAGATAACGAATTACAAAATATAATTTTGTTTTAATCCAGTAGACACACTAGTACTCATTGACACGACACGTTTTAGTGTGGAGGACAATTGATTATATTTTTCAAAAGTGACCAAAATTACAAAATGAAAGGGTCAATTATTTCTCCCTGTGACCTTGTTTGCATGGTATACTGAATTTCTAACGAGAAACGCAAACCAGGAAGAGGAAAATGATGCACATTCAAAACAGTATGGTTATTTGACCAATTAGTTTTATAAATTTACCTGTCTCACGTTCTCCACAAAGTAAGTCATCACCCAAAAAAGTAATATCATATTCTCTTTCAAATCGTATGTGTTTTGACGTGGAACCGAGAACAGCAGAGTATATGTAAAAAAACACAGAAATACCAGGTGCGATAACTGTAATAGAGAGAGAAAATGAAATAGTGAGCGGAGTTGGGGGAGGGATCAGATAATAATTTATGATAATATTAGTGAAAAATGAGAAACAATCATAAAAAGGATTCATATTTCAATGTGTGGTAGGTTTTGGTAAGCCTGTGTGTAATGCACATGAGAACAGATCATGAAGTTTTGTGGAGTTGGAACCCTTGCAAGAGTGCCGGCTAAGCTTCGGTATATATATATATATATATATATATATACATATATATATGTGCTCCCGCGTTGGATTTACGCCCCACTGCCTTGTGATTCAGACTATTGAGTCAAAGGCTCCGGTTAGGGTTCCCAAAGGAAAACCCCTTCGTCGTTGTGGGCTACCGCGAAGTATGCCGTGCCCTAAAGTCTTAGGCACCCATTTGGAAAACGACCTTTCCTTTCTGACTAGTTCTTCTCAACCTCGATTAATCCCAGATGCCCCCTGTTTACGCCACTCATCGAATATCACTCGGCGTTTTACCGTCAAGGCCAGAGATTCAGAAGCTGTAGGGTTTTTAAAGCCAAAATCCCCTTTTCACTTGGCCGCCTTCAATGTCCGCACGCTCTATCAGATTGGCCAACAAGCTGTCCTTGCTAAAACTCTTGAAACTTTCAATGTAGATGTATGTTGTGTCTCCGAAACACGTATACAAGACACTACTTCCATT